AGGGATGCAGGACAGCAGGATCTAGGATCATCAGCACACAAATACAGCAGCATCCAGGCACTGCAGGATACAGGACAGCGTAAGGCCCGCTCAATCGGAATGCATGACAGCAGGATACGGACACAGCAGGATGCATGACTAGCAGCACACAGATACAGCAGCATGAAGCCACGACAGTACAGCATAGATCTGCTCAAGCGGGATGCAGTTCAGAAGTAAATGCTCACGGCAGTCACATGACCATCGGAATACAATCACACGATGCAATTATCTCAGATGAGCACAATTCCGAAGGAACCTCCCGATTGTTACGAACCCAGTTCGACCCGAATGATCAATGACTTCGTTCTGTCTAGAGGTTTCATTATATTCACTTCACAAATCATTGATTATTAATATTAAAGTAGAGTGTCTTTATTAAATAAATCTCAACTGCCATTACTCCAAGAAAAACACTACTCAATAATAATGAGGCATATCCCCATTCACACAATACGTCACAAGATACAAAGCATTTAATAACTCTTATTTCCAAAATACTCTCCAAGCAACACGCAATCACAACATGCATTCAAGTACTTAACATCCGCCAGGGAAGGGACATAACTAATGAAAATCATATGAAACCCCAGTTTTATGAGTGTTATGTCCCATTTGAAATAAAAGCTATCCGAAGTTTTCCCAATCTTTCAAGCAACACCTGAAGTATTTTCTGAATCATGATATGAACACAAAGCAGTTTAAGATAAGATAGGGTAAGTTAAGATATGAATGCCAATCTTACGAGAAGCTGACAAGCCCGATAAATATTTCAAATTTTTAGCGTACTCAATTATTATTTGATTCATTTCTTATGTTACACATTTATTACCGTGTTACTTTCTGACTTTGTTTACTTTTTCAGAAAAATTATAACACAATTTAGTGACCCTTGGAGAAAGACGAACATATCTGGGAAAAACCTAAAAAATTAAACAGTTAAAATTCAATCTTTAATTTTGTCCTTAAATTAAAGTTTAATTTTTAATTTAAGTTCCTTTTAATATAAAATAAAATGTAAGCATGATCTGCTGGAAATGCCCAAACTGCCGTCATAATAACGAGTACTATTAATTGCAAGTACTGAATAAACAAGCCAAAAATACATCATATGAACTAATACCATCGTATATGGAGATTGCGTCGGTGTGTCGTGGAGCGTGAGCTCTTAATACCCCCCTCCCCGGCACACCCCCACGCAGGTCAAAGCCAGGTCGTCCCGCCACCAGGCCATGCGGTGGCGCGCAGAGAATCTCACCCCTGGCCAGGGGGACGTCCGGTCGACTGAAAACGCTGCGTTTAAAGCATTCGCGGTCCACTCTCCTGTGGGTCAGGATGGCTTTGCTTCCACTCCGAGGGAAAGTTGCTGCTTTACAAGCTCCCACTGTCCAGGAAGTCAGTATGTTCGGGACATACTTGGGACGAAACTGTCACATGGGAACGGCGTTCTCCAAGGCCGCGTAGCTAAAATCATCTGTATGGGATTTACCGCCACCCAATCCTCATATCGATTATCGGCAACAAGTAATCATGTTACATCTTTATTACTCCTGTTGCGTTTAGAGGCATGAGTCGTCCAGGGTTTTTTAGCTTGAGGAGATTGCCCTCCCTTCTAGTCTGCCCTGCCGCGAAGAGGCAAAACACCATGATGACGCACCCCAAGTTACCTCGGAGACGCTCCAATTATCGTATTAACTAACTGTTCCCATTGAATATGGTGTTTGTAATAGAGGAATGACTGGGTGTTAAAATACACAAATCCAGTTGCTCAAAATTTCTGGTTCAGTCAAAAGATTATCCTCTTTTATTTTAAAGTCACCCAAAGCAAGGCTGATATAATGTCCAACAACTTCCATAGAGCTAATGTTTTGAAACGTTACCGTCTTTGAACACAAATGTAAGCGTATGAGCCTTACAGGGCAATAGCTGCAGTCGTGTTACTTAGATTGATGTACTTAATATTCTCTACATATGGAAGTGACTGTTAAGATATGGTTAACATAATTATCTGAGGACGTGCAATAATTACCACAGTTCCTTTCAACATATGCTTATCATAATTTAATGCGATAAAACTGTTTCTTTCTTTTACGCTCTGCTATAAATATGATAGAATTCCAGTCATTAAGTTTTGATTCATCGTTTTTTGGACTAAATTAGCTAGCTGTGGGTGTATGTGAAATCGAAGGGTAGACGCACATTTTACGTTTGTGCATATTACAGACTCAACACAGCAGATGAACCAAACCTGGGGAGGCTCGAGGTATCGCTTCAGAGAGCACCACAATGGAAGAAGGCTTTTCTCCTTATGGGAGGGAATTTTAACTGTCCTGGTGGGAACTAGCAGATTCCTGCCTTGAAGCCCAAGTCATCGTACCCTGTTCTACTCTCAGAATTCATGGAGATGATTAATTACATTGATCTGGAACAGTTGGTTAAAGAACCACCGAGAAGGGAAAAACTCTTGACCTATTCCTCACTAACAGTTCACATCGTGTCCAAAAAGTTGAGATCATCCCCGGGATATCAGACCACCGTATACCATATTGTGAATTTCAGGTCAACACACAAAAAAAGAAACAGATCATAGGAGAACTCCAAATTTATGCCAAGGCAGACTGGGATGGCCTGAGGAGTGCAACGACAGAACTGAGCTCAAACATGCATGAGATTCAGGGTACAGCGACAACAGAAGAGCTGTGGATGAAGTTAAAGACAGCAATCACTGATGCAATGAAGAATATCCTACCACACAGGACCACCAAACCTAAGATAAATTAGGCATGGGTCACGGCTGAAATCCGTTGGCTCATCCACAGGAGAGACCGAAAATACAAACGATTGAATAAAAATGGTTCGATTGAACTGAGAGAGGAAGTACTGAATGATATAAAACATAACGCCTTTTTTCAGTTTGTTTTATTGTCAATTAATTTTGTAAAATAAAATATGTATCATATTAAAAATTAAAAAATAAATTCATAAGTATCAATTCGTTATGTTGAATATAATATCTAAAAATCTTACTCATGTTATTTCAACAATTTTTTTAATTGACATTGCAAGAATAAGAAAACATTTTTACTTAGAAAATATTTATAACATGGTTAAATATGTTAGAGCTAATTCATTAAAACAAATTTAAAAAAAATTAATATCACACAACTAATTTTGAAGCTCGTGTTATGTTTTGTTTTTAAAAGCACTGGGAAATTAAAAACTTAACTGACGTGTGTTGAGATGCATAAAATTTTGATAATTTTGTTGTTCGTCCGTCGAGGATCGACGACGACCATCGATTCGTCCGGTGACTGATGACTTGCACTAGTGACTTTTGTTTAAAGTGAGAAAGATTTGCCCGGCGTCAACCTCGCTCTCTCGTCCGGGCCCACCATATCCAGTGGCAAGACTCTACGTCAAGACGACCAGGGATGGGTACGGTTGCAGGAATTGTCATTGTATGCGGCTTACGGGACTCCAACTCCGGGGTTGAATTCAGAGTTTCCTTCTCTTAGATGAGTTGCCGACCAAGGTTAACGAGTCTCATGCACCCGGGGTGATGTTTTTGCTTGACCGGCCTTTGGCTGGAATTGAGGTTTGCTCAGTTTAGACCATTCGACCACCTAGTCACCCATGCAGTGAATGACCATGGTGTTCTACGTGTCTGGCCATGCTCTCAGTGATGCACACCACTGTGCTGTCTCCGCCTTTTGTCCGTTGACCAAGTAGTGGTTCTTCCTCACAATTTGCCGGATCCAGTCTTTACATGCTATGGGGGACAACCCCTTTTTTCCGAAAGTTCTATGCCTTTCGGCTACCCTCAACCTGGAATCGTTGTCTTGGTTGTCGTCGTTGTCCATGTGCGAGCTGAGTACAGAGACTTCCGGATGTTTCCGAACAAGATGGCTTCTTCCTATTCAGCCTAACAGTAAATCTATATTGTAGTTGTATTTAGAAGAAGAAATACATTAATAATAGCATACATTCTGATCCTGAATGAAACCGCAAAACAATTAAAATTAATTAAAAGTTTGAATTTACTTGCGCCGAAGCCAATTTCCAATAATCATTTTTAACTTTCTCCCTTGCTTTACTGAAGCGCCTATACACTGAGATTCCTTCCTATTGTGTATTATTATACCGCCATCTTGTTGTAGCCGGAATTTATCCTTTGTATAGTGACAATGGAGATTTTGTTAACGAAATGTTGTTGAGAAAAAATTTACGTATCCGAAACAAAGATGCTGATCCTGTTCAGATTTTTAAGCATATATTTCAAAGAAAGAACTATTTCAAACAATTATTTTCTTGTAAAATCCATGTGTCCTTCCTTTTGTGTTCTTTTGAATTTTTTTTACGCCATCTTGTTGCCGCCGGAAGATTAGCACAAACATTTCTACAATTTAAGTTAAATTGTCTATTTGACATAACACAATCTTCCTTGCGGACGCCCAATAAAGTATACTTTTTTTTGGTTTTTTTAAAATTATAATTCTGTCTCAAAAAAAGAAGAGCTTACTGCTTTTATGTTAATAACTTGTGCCGAACTATTTATAGATATTAGCATGAAGATATTTTGTTGGAAAGGCAGTTGTGCAAAGCATTTTTGGTGGAATAAAAGTTGGTTTGAAATTTAATTTTCTAAAATCTATTTATTTTGTTGCATTCGAACAAATGCCCTTCAAACAAAATTTCATCGAAAAATTACTTTAAACAATGTGAACTCCTAATACGGAGGTCACGACTCACAAACACTTGAAGTCAATAACATGAAGATTAACTTAAACACCAACTATATGCCTTTATCATAATAATTTTTTTACTGATTTTATTCAATTTTTTTTCCAGTGTAGATTTTAAAAAAAAATATTGTTTACAATTCTGTCAGAGCAAAAATAATTCATAAAAGAACTGAAAACTTTAAAAAAAGACAGAACAAGTGAAATATCTTGATAATAACTGGCTCCCACATTTATCATTAGAAAATATTTTATTTAAAACTCTGACAAGCAAGTAGTAACTTCTTCTATAGCAGGAAATAATGAAATAAAAAAGTAACAACCACTCACATTCAAATGACTAGGTAAATGAACGCACACAATGTTAAAAACAATAGGACATTGAAGTCGATACAGTTGGCGCCACATTTCATCAAGGTAGGTTTGGTAGTCATAATTGCATTGGTTTCAGTTAGAGGTGTGACGGAAGACGTCGTCAGAGATGTCACACTAGCTCCGGCTTTGGAAGCCTCAGTGTTGGTGGTAGGCTCGGCGGTAAGCTCGGTAGTAGGCTCAGTGGTAGGCTCAGTTGCAGGCTCAGTGGTAGGCTCAGTGGTAGGCTCGGCGGTAGGCTCGGTGGTAGGCTCGGTGGTAGGCTCGGTGGTAGGCTCGGTGGTAGGCTTGGTGGTAGGCGCGGTGGTAGGCTCGGTTGTAGGCTCGGTGGTAGGCTCGGGGGTAGGCGCAGCGGTAGGCTCGGTGGAGGTGGTAGGCTCAGTTGTAGGCTCGATGGTAGGCTCGGTGGTAGGCTCGGTGGTAGGCTCGGTGGTAGGCTCGGTGGTAGGCTCGGTGGTAGGCTCGGTGGTTGGCTTGGTGGTAGGCTCGGTGGTAGGCTCGGTGGTTGGCTCGGCGGTAGGCTCGGTGGTAGGCTTGGTGGTAGGCTCAGTGGTAGGTTCGATGGTAGGCTCGGTAGTAGGCTCTGTGGTATCAGGGTCGTTTTTTGAGCTTGTTGTGATCGCATATGTCAAATTATGTATGAAAATATATTTTTAGTTTCAAATGGGATCTTGATGAAACGCGCCTTAGTTTTTTTTTCTATCAGAAACGTAGATTATCTCATCTAAACTCTAGCAAAAGAATGGATTTTGAATATCAAATTAGCGTTTTTGTAATGCAATGCCACATGTCAATCACAGATCAACATAACCAAGAATCCCCTTAAAGAAATACTTGACGTTATTCTGATGGTTGTTGTTTATTCTTTGCTTATCTTGAATTTGTTTGGCTTTTCCAAGTCTAATGATACTAGAAACAAAGTTTTGGTTCACTTTAAATATAAAATAGCTTTATTCTCCTTTGATGACCATGTACTTGATGTCTTTATCGTGACCCTATGTGATAAATTTTCACATGATGACACCATTTTAAAAAAAAATAAAATTAGATACCTTTTTCCATACAAAGAAGTGGATACTCATTGTGACAGTCGTCGTCAATGATACCAATTGCTGATCCAACGTAAGGATTGCCGTCGGGATCTATAAGCTGTTGTGGATAGAAGGAGATGGCCGCACAATCATAGTCATCCGTGGTGTTGCTTGGATTGTTGCTCTGCCAGAGCGTGGACAACTCTGAGCCCGCATCACCGCCCGCTGCCCACACCCAGGTTCCTTCTTGAACAGTATCGCTGGCACCAATCCAAGATTTACTCTCTGCAATATAAATGCATTCAAGAATTCATGTACTCTGTTAGAATAATAATAATAATAATAATAATAATAATAGGGTGTAAGTTAAATCATGATGTGGTGGATGACTTTAACAGATCTGACCTAACTTTCTATAGCAAAGTTGTCTTGTCTAATTCAAATCCGCATGTGTAATTGCAATATTTATTTTAAAAAAAACATTTTCCCCGGGATATATATTTTGTGTTTCAACTGACGTCATTTCAACTTTTTGAAATATCCGGCTCTTAGGGTGACCATTTCCGCTGGCAGAGCGACATGACGAGCTGATGTGATGTGTTCTTTAATGTTCAAATCACAAAAAATTTATGTGAAAAAAAAATAAATATATATATATATTTTTAAGATAGTTTGGAAACTGTCAGAGTAACGAAGGTCGAGTACCAAACTCACGGTTGAACACAATGTCAGGAAGTGGGTGAAACAAAGTAAGTTGAAATCTGGAAGAAAAAAAACAAGAAACAAAAAAAAACAAACAAAGAACGTTCCTGACAACCCTCGGGTGGAAGCAGGCGGAAGGGAAATAAAAAAAAAAAGAAAGAAGAGAACTCCGTGGGCTCTATGACTTACCTGCTTGACTGATGTACTCTTGGTAAAACTCATCGCTGAGCAACGTCACCTTTGCCAGAATTTTGCCGCTGGCTTGGCAAATAAACTGAGGACATATTTTTATTTTGAAATTATAGTTCCATTTTTTAAATGAAATAACCTGGTAGGATGCAAGCTTCTTTGTTAACCCTTTTGCTTTTATGTGCATTTATGTGTTGCATTTTTGGATTACACTTTTTTTGTTGTTGCTATTATCCCTAAAAAACATAATGACAATAAAAGAAGCATGAACCAAATAAACCAATTAAGAAAGAGGTCAAAGGTCATCTAGTTAGGTATTAACACACCTCTTTAGTAAAAAGTCTAAGGTCTACTACTTAGGCATTGACAAACCTTATGAGTAAGAAGTCTAAGGTCTACTAGTTAGGCATTTACAAACCTCTTGAGTAAGAAGTCTAAGGTTTACTAGTTAGGGATTTACAAACCTCTTGAGTAAGAAGTCTTAGGTCTACTAGTTAGGGATTTACAAACCTCTTGAGTAAGAAGTCTTAGGTCTACTAGTTAGGCATTAAAAACCTCTTGAATAAGAAGTCTTAGGTCTACTAGTTAGGCATTAAAAACCTCTTGAATAAGAAGTCTAAGGTCTAATAGTTAGGTATTTACAAACCTCTTGAGTAAGAAGTCTTAGGTCTACTAGGTAGGCATTAAAAACCTCTTGAATAAGAAGTCTTAGGTCTACTAGTTAGGCATTAAAAACCTCTTGAATAAGAAGTCTAAGGTCTACTAGTTAGGCATTTACAAACCTCTTGAGGAAGAAGTCTCAGATCCACTAGTTAGGTATTAACAAATCAATTGGAAAAGAAGCGTTTAGGGAAAAGGATGTGTATCATAAAACCTCTTGAGTAATAAAATTATAGTCAAATAGTTATTCATTAACAACTTCTCAAATAAAAAGGCTGTACGTAACTATTCATTTAGAAAATTTTGAGCAAGAAGACTACTGTGTACTTTCTATTCATTAAGAAAACTTTGAGCAAGAAGACTAAGGTCTACTATCTATACATTAAGAAAACTTTTGAGCAACAAGACTACGGTCTACTATCTATTCATTAAGAAAACGTTTGAGCAAAAAGACTACGGTCTACTGTCTATACATTAAGAATATTTTTGAGCAACAAGATTACGGTCTACTATCTATTGATTAAGAAATCTCTTGAGAAAAACGCCTACAGTAGCCTAGCAATGTATTAACAATTTAATCATTTAAACTAATCTCTTCAAGATGAGAGGCTCAATAAAATCCGATACATAATAGAATTGTTTGTTTTTTTTGGTGTTTTTTTTACCAAAGGCGTCGCAGAGCCATCATTATAGTTTATATTATACTTCACAAAGAAATCTATGTCATGTCCTGCAGTCATTACACTTTAAAACAACACACATTCGTACGTTTTCATTCAATAAACACAAAGTAAAGCAACTTTACCTCGGCCTGTGCGTAGGGAAGTGGCTGGTTAAAGTACACGTAACACGCGCCGTCTGCTTGAAAAGTCACTGACTCCGAGCATGTTACTTAAAATTGGGATGTGAATATAATGTCATTTTAGTTCCATTTTTTTTAAAATATTGGTGAAAAAGTGTGTGTGTGTGGGGGGGGGGATGATTTCATTGAACTTTTTATTTTATGTGTAATGATTAAATTTATCCCCGTAGCCATCTTTATCAATATTTATATCTGATTTCTTTATTTAAGTATTTGTGTATTTTATTGTGTGTTAAGAATACTCGTTTTATTTATCTTCATGACAATATTTTTAAAACAAAATAACACACGTTGAATATAAGTGACCGTTCCATTGAATAAAGTTGTACACTTAATATAGCACAATATCGTCATTCTAACCAATTCAAATTGTAATTTAAAAAAAAACTTTTCTATTATATTCTCCTTAATTTTTTAAAATTATTTTTAATCTTTTCAAATATTTTTTTTTACATTTAATATAAGGATAACAAAATACAAATTTTACTGGTATGTTTTATGTAGTGACACAAACCAGGATGAACTCAGCGCAACATTTCAAATAATAATAATAAAATACAAATCTACGCATAGAGAAACCATGTATCGATTTGATTTGTGCTTGGTTTCTGTCTGTCTGTCTGTCTGTTGTTGTGTGTTTACCTTAGATCCTTTAATATTTATTTTTTTTATAATTATTCAAATACATTTAATTCATTTTTTAATAAAGTTGGACTTACCACTTCTCGCCTCTGGAAGAATCATAAGTGTAAGAATGAGAATAAAACACACATGTTTCCTTCCCATTGTGACTGTCTGGGTGATAGAGATTGCGTTAATTTTACATTTAAAATAACCCTTAAAATTTTGTTATTTTTGTATAAACAATTGGAGGGTGGGGGTTGGGTTGAAAACAAAAGTTCATGAATATTTATTGCTGGCATCCGTCCGTCACAATGTGACGATGGTGTGGTCTTCGCAGGACGAATTCCACAAGGCTTGGGATTCTTCTTCTAGGATTATAAGCTGGTTCCCAACAGCAAATCGCCTCGCTCCACGCTGCTGGGAACATCATTTGGATGATACAGCTTGGCGCCAGTGACGTCGCAGGAGTTGTCGGAATGTTTCATTGTACCAATGTTAACTCTAATTCCGGGTTTGATTTCAGAGTTTCCTTCTCTTAGATGAGTTGCCATCCAAGGTTAACGAGTCCCATCTACCCGGGGTGCTGGTGGTGTTTTTGCTTGACTGAGCTCTGGCTGGAATTGAACTCCAGACCACCAACTTGAAATTTGCTCAGTTGAGAGCAATCGGTCACCCAGCACCCAGCATATTATACTCTTTATAACAATACAGATTAATTCTCCCCCTCCCACCTCTTCCCTTTTAGGCTCCCAACCGCATTATTTTTTTCAGGCCACTGAATTAATATATATTCATATGACTCATCCACTTTTATAAAGGAGATTTATTTCAACAAAAGTTTGAGAAAAGAAAAAAAAGGTTACGCACAAAATTCAATGGCGATATTTGACCCAAAAAAAAAAGTCATTTTGCGTAGTTTGCGAATTTTCTTTTGTCTTCCCCTTGAAATACAGGAAAATGATTTTTCGGCCTTTGGAGTATGGGCTGAAGATTTTGATCGAATGTGTTTTCAGTGGCATGAAGTGTATGTACCAAGTTCCAGATCGATAGCTTGACGGGATGATTAGTCATTCAAATATTTTTCGACCCAACCATCCAGCCACCCAGAAACAAAAAATAATCTTAAATCACCTCAGATATATAGCGAAAATTAACTTTGTCCTCAAAGTGCGTAATTTAAAACTTCAATCGAAGTATTACATGATATACATGTCAATACCCTTTACCCTATTGCTTTCAACATTCTAATTTAAAGATTAAATTAATTCCCCATAAAATCCCTTCTTTCTTGACATTGTTACCATTTGTGTTTGAATTTTTTTTTCTGCTCAGAGTAGTCAGTAACCTTACAGAGTTGCACTCAACATGTGTGTAGTTTGTGTTACATTCACCGTTTCTGATACCTATGTCAGTACCCTTTTAAGAAGCTTATTAAATTTGTAACTTACTGGAGTGGATATCATTTTGAATTGATACTATTAAATCAAAGTTTAATTGAAAGAAAATTAACTATTTTAATGACATTTATCTTTTCAAATATTTTTTTTAATGAGAAAATTTAATGGCATCACAAAGAAAGCAATTCCCTTTAGAATAATGTATTTATTTGAATGAATGAAATCTAGACAAAGAAAGTTGTAGTTTAAATGTCTTTCAAATATGCGCATCTTGTTTCAAGGGTTGTTAGCAGTACCTTTTTAAAGATTTAAATGCTGTGCTCATGAAACCAAAATGAAGGTCCTCAACGTTTCCAGAGTTTTGTGGTTACGTGCACAGGCAAGCAGTTCAATTGTTGTTAGGAACTAATGAGAAGGTTTAAACGGACAAGACTGTGGCGTGGTTGGGTGAAGTTTCACGATGATTCCTAGGAGGGGGAGGTGCAAACGTTTGGGAAAATGTAAGAAAAAGAATAATCCGCAAAGGTTTATATCTATTTACCTCGTGGTCGTCTTGAAGCTTTCAACGGCCACACACATACATTCTAAATGGCAAAACTGATGTCGTAAAAATAACTATTTTCCATACATGTCCGTTAGGAAAAATAAAAGGCTTTTTTTGAATTTATTTTCACAAGCTATTTTCTGGGAAATACCGCAAATGCGTAACGGTGCCCCCCCCCTTTTTTTTGTTTTTGTTTTTGTAGTTGTTGTTGCGATTTTCAACGTGAATTCGATCAAGACCATTTTAATCATTGAAATCACGCTGGTTCATATCCTGTCTGTGACTACGCACATAGCTGGTCAGCCCGATTGTATACAGAAATGATGTCGTTCAGTAGGTGTAAGGTATAAACTGATTGAACAACTCAAGGTAAAAAGTAAACCCTTGTGTTTCTTTGGATTGGATTTTTTTCTACAGCTGTTTTTCTGTTGGTTTTATTTTTGTATGGATCATTTCTTAAAGCAGCGATCAAGCTGCTTTGACATGCTATATGTACCATGTTTGCAGATGATACCCAACTTCAGCAGTCTGTGATGCCTTCTCAGTTGTCTCAGCCTCTTAGTAGGGCACAGGAGGCTGTGGAGTCAGTTAAGCATTGGATGAACATAAACAAGCTCAAATTGAACGATGAAAAGATCAAGCTGGTCCCCATTGCTAATTCTGAAAAACTAAAATCTCTAAATAACACACCATCCGTTATCCTCTCCGGTATACAGATTGAGTTTGCTCAAAGAGTGCGAAACTGGATGTCTTCTTGTAAAATCAAATTAACATGATTTGCAAGGCGATTTTTCTAGAGCTGCGAAGAATTGGTCACATCAGACCTTTCTTAACGTTTTATGCAATAAAGAGGCTGATGTCTGCATTCGTGCTATCACTCATGGACCACTGCAATGCTCTCATGGTGAGTCTTTCAGCTACGCTTGTGTATAAATTTTAAAAAACACATAATGACGCTGTTCACATTGATCTTTGCAAACGCAAATTCAACCATGCTTAAACTCTTCTGAGAGAGTTGCATTGGATGCCGGTCCACGCTTGCATAGAGTACAAAATTGCAACTCTGTGCTACCGCTGCTTGCATGACCTGGCGCCGTCCTATCTCAAAGCGCTCATAAAGACTTATGTACCCACTAGACAGCTCCACTCATCCTATTGTGGCAAACTCTCTATACAACGCACTTCCGCATTTGCTGGCTTAAAATTTTGGAACACACTTCCTGACGCTCTCAGAAACAGCCAGACACTGAAGTAGCTCAAAACTAATTTTGAGACCTATATATTTCCCAAACACCAGCTGGGGGGATGTTTTCGGTCCCCTTTTCCAGCTTGCTATTGTTTCCTAGATATATAATGGCCTCTGTTTGTTGATGTTTGTAAGGGGTAAAAGAATTACGTCACAAAACAGATTAGAACAGTGGTCGGAAAAATGATGTTCTTTGGTGACCTGAGTGCGGCTCGGCCATTCGGCCAAAAATCGGGTTTGACACCAAAAAATGTGGGGCTTGACAAGTTGTTGAAAAGAAATTTTGCTCTCAAAAAAAAAAAAAAATTCGTCCCGAGTTTTTTTTTTTAACTAATTAATTTTCCGACGACGGGAGCAGGCAAAACGTCATAAGAAGCATAACAATACGTCACAAAGTCAAGCGCGGGAAGAGCGTACACTATCTAATTAATCTCTCAAGACACGCAGAGCGCAAGCAAATGTTAGATATTCAGTGGATTAAAATTATTAATACATAAATTGTACTCGGAAATTACTTCTATACATAGATTCAGTACACCATCTTGAATGCTATAAATAAACTATAATTATCTTCGTTTTAAATCGTTATGGTAACATCGGTGTTAAATAATTTTTTTCGCAAATTTTTTATTTGCTAAAAAATAATTTCACCGACCATTGCTATAAAGTGACATTGGTTGAAACGCAATGGCGTTCAGATGATCTCCTTTGTCGTGAGACCCCAATCATAAACTATCAGCAGTGTCTAGAGCTTCGAGAATCCAGGAACATCGCGTCAATGCGGTATTAATATGTTTTAAAGTTGCTAGAGTGCATTTAGGTTACATCAGAATCTACAGCGTGAATAAACTTTGATCTGAAATATTTACATTTCTCTGATTCTCCTCTGTCATCTCCTCTCCAGCTGTTAGTGCTATGACTATGCTGCTATGTTGGATTCATGTTGTATGGATTTTATTTGTTGGCCTTATGTTGTATGGATCTTATCGGTTTGCTTCATGTTGTTGGAACTAATCTTTTGGCCTTTTGTTGTGTATATCTAAACTTTAGGCTTCACGTTGCATGTATCATCTGATCTGTCGTCTTTATGTTGTATGGATCAAAACTGTCGGCTTCATGGTCTACTGATCCAATCGGTCGGCTTCATGATGTGTGGATCTTAATTGTCGGCTTAAAGTCTAAACATCTTATCTGTTGGCTCCATGGTCTAAACATCTAATCTGTTGGCTCCATGGTCTAAGCATCTAATCTGTTGACTTCATGGTGTATGGTCTATGAATCAGCGTATTACAATACCATTCAAAACTGAGTTACCGATGGTCAAACTGCGGATTAATCAGAAGTGTTTAGTTGGGTCAATGTTGGGTCAATGGCAGAGTTTTTTTTTCCTCAGACATCTCTCCGGAGGAGTGGAGGGGTACCAGGTTCAAACACCCCACTCCACTTTCTGCGCCACCGGCCGAGGCGTAGCTCTAGTCTTTTGCGCCAGGTTAACAAGATTCATTTTATCGCATCCCCTGCCTCTTAATACTGAAACCTAAAAATTGTATCTAAAAAATGCCATCAAATCCCTTCTTGGCCCAACCGCTAGTCTATTGAAAAGAAGGGCTTTGATGTCAGGCTTTCATAAACAATGCACTCGAAAATTTCTATGCATAACACTTCTAATGTGTACAAGTTATTATTCAAACATGTAAGAAAAAAATTAAAAATGAGAGGTGCTACAAGGCCTAATTACTTTTGCTAAGGCGGCCCAAGTAGAAAAAAATAAAATGAAAAGCACTTAACACGAGAGAAGTAACAACGGGATTAGAGAAGGTTAGAAGACAATAGAGTCATACTAGGTTATGGCGTTTGGATTAAGGTGGTAAGTGTGTGGTGGTAGAATTAGGTGGTAGTGGTTTAAATGTAAGGGTGTTGTGATAGGGTGTGGTAGTAGGGTGTGGTAGTAGGGTGTGGTGGTTTGGTGTGGGGGTGTGGTGGTATGGATGTGGTATGGTCGTAGGGGTGATGATGAATGAGATATTTAAGTTGTCATTGGGGGTCTGGATTTGGGGCTCATTTCAAATAAAAAATGTTTGATGTCAACTTAGATGGCGATGTAAGAGCTGTATGGTGTCATGGTATTGACAAGGCCTGCACAACTCAAAACTTAAGGTGGGCCGTAATACTTTATGAAAAACTTTTGCGGGCCCAAAGAAAATAGGACAAGGAGAAAGCTGTTAAGAAAATAATAAGAATAAAGAATATTTTGTTACTTCGCGGGTCACAAAGTGGGTGCTGGCGGGCCGCGAGTGGTCCGCGGGCCGTATGTTTAGCAGGCCTTGTATAGACTGGGACGAACAATACAGTGTAAAATATTTCTAGTTGTATGGTAAATTTTAATATAGTAATTAAGTTTCCTCGGAATGGTAGAATAACTAACCATTACTTAACAAAGACCATTAGTTTTAATTATAAAGCATATTTTTAAAAACAATTATCTAAAATATATATGTTCATTTCTAAATGTGTACTCAAGGCATGCTCGGCTTGAGGAGTACAATGTACGCATGAAATAATACGCTATTTACCTATAGCCTGCCTTTTATATGT